GCATATATTTAACTATTTGTTTTCAAATCTAGGATCTAAGGGCATTAGATGAAATTAGAAGCTTAGCACAGGTATTTTGGACATGAATGCCACAGTGTACGGGACACTTCAGGCCCAGGAAAGAAGAGAAAGTCTGATGGTGCGGCCTGTGAATTGAGACAGTCCTGCCAGTACAGCCCAAGAGTCCAGCGCTTCCTCCAAAGCAGAGGACAGAAGTGTGGAGCTCATCACAGGTTTGGTGTGGACATCAGCTGCTGCCGCGGGATTAACTGAACAGCACTGTACCAGCTGCCTCTTTTCTCACTGTAGCTAAAAATGACTTTCAAACACAGCTTGAGATAGAAAAGTAAATCACTGCCCTGCAGCTGGGGAAGAACAAGACAGGGAGAACACCACAGCCTGATTTTCAGAGATGCTGCTGCAATTCAGCTGTCGTGAAGGTCAGTGGGAAATACAGGGCTCATGCCCAAGGAAATACCAACTGCAGCAAAGACCAAAGTTTGGAACTGCCCAACACTTACAGAAAATACCTCCTGTATGACTCTCACACAGTTGCAGTTTAATTACAAAGCAGCAGAGCTAAACCCAAGCCTTGCCAATGACTTCTGGACCAGAAACCCCAGATTTAAACATCCTTCTCCCTCCACAACGCCTCCCGTGCAGCAGAAGAGCTTGCTGCTGGAGCCAGACCCACTCAGTTCCCATGCTGACTCCAGTGGAGCAGAAGCATCAAGCCACATAGCATGTGTTATGGAAAAAACTTACGCCTCTGTGTATTATTTAAAATGTTCTAGTCAGAGGTTGTGCTTAACAACACAGATATCTCCACAACCATTCTGCTACAACATCACTTCCCATCTTTTGTTTCCTAAAAGCCTTTCCAACTGCATCAATGCCTTTTGCTATCTCAGATCCTGCTATATCACCACTATCACATTAAGAATACACTTATCTCATACCACCTGGGGATATGTATTAAAAAAACAATCCCTTTAGAAATCATCCTACTTCTGCACAAACAAAATGTTATTTCAGAAGTGAAAACACAGTCCCAGTGATGTAATCATTATGCAATTACTGAGTATGACGTAACAGGAGGCCACACAGAGAAAAGCACCTTCTTCCAGACCTCAGGAGAAGTTCAAGCAAGCGTTTGGGGGTCTCGGCACCGTTCCTGCTCATGCTTTAGGAGAACAATGACTAGGCCAACTCTTGTTAGCCCTTGCCTTCTTGCACAGCCTCTGGGGCAGTTTCACCCTGCACACCAAAGCAAGGGAGAGCACGTCGGACCAGCCGGCCCCTCCGCTACCCGCCAACGGGAGCAGCAGGAGAAGCCGCTCGGCTTTGCTTTTCTAAGCTTCGTTATTGCCCCCAGATTTGTTTGGGAGGTTTGCTCAGTCTCGGTGCATAGCCTGGGGCTGGCACCGTGGTGGGCTGCCAAGCCCGGGTCTGTGGTGGGCTCCAGCATGAGCTGCCCAGGCGCTGCCTAAGGGAGGAAAGCAAACGTATTAATCACCCACACGTGCACAAGTTGAGCCCACACAGCGTTTCTGGGAATATTATAATAATGTCAGCACATCCAGGAAAATGCCAGACAGTGTTTTCCTTTTACTTAAAGCTTATTCACAAACAGAATATATAAAATATTTTGTTATTATGAAACAGGCGACACAAGCTTCAATCAAATTATTAAGAAAAAGATTCAAGTTGTACTTCCAATTAACTCTGATGAGTCAAGAGTCAGACCAAAAGAGTCAGCGTGTCTTCACACGGAGGCAAATGTGCACTGCTTGGGCTGACTCTGACTGAAATGCAATCTGGACTGAAACAGGACAGCACAATGGAAATAAGTGACCATTTTTAGGGGTTGTGGGAGTGGTGCCACAAAGCTCAAGGAGTGTGCTCTGTGCTGCAAGTACGGCTGCAGGCGCAGGCTGAGGCGCGTTCGCGAACCCACCCAGGAAGGGAGCTCACTGCTGATTTCAGGGCAGGCTGGCAGAGCCTGTTTACAGAGGTGTTCACAGAAGACAGCTTGTCAAACTGAGACAGGCAGATGTGGCAAATGAAAATTTATGAAAACGCAGAGTGGGGCGGGGGGGAGAGCGAGCGGCTGGAAGGCAGTCCTGCAGAAGCCCTGCCGTGGCCATAGTGCGCGTGGCCATAGCGCACGTGCGAAAGCAGGGAGCCATTCCTCCCCTCCGGCTGCCCCGGGTCCTCTCCTACCCAGCGCCCATCCGGGCTGCTGCAGTGCTGTACGCGAGATTCTTCTCTCTCTGCCTCTGGTTTTAGTGCCGTAACGTCAGCAGGTGCCTCTGGCTCCCTAATTGGTGTCAGGCTTCCCACGCTGGAGATGCCGCTGGTGCAGAGCGGCTCAGCACAGTCCAAGGGGTTACGGCACGGAAGAGTTTCCCAGGCATGAAGGGCAGTGCCCAGGGCTTGACTTGCATCTCCAGCCTGCAGCAATCAGGCACCCAGCTGCTGTTGTGGCTTTGAAATCTGCCCTGTGCGAGCACCAAAAGCTTTTGGAGTAGGAGATGATTTGCTACTAAAGTTTAGGAGGGAAAGGGAAAAATTTCCTCTTTCAGGGCTGATGCCAACACTTCGTCATGAGAGATCAGGAGCAAGCTTTCATGGGGCTATAGGAGCAGGCTACCGACAATCACTGCTCATTGCATATAGTTTTCTACTCTCCCCTGTAGCTCTTCTGCAGAAAACATGCCAGCCAAGTGATGTGCACCTTCAACTTGTGCTGGGAATTCCCCATACAAGCTATGAGAACTGCCCATATGCAAACAACAACATTTTTAAGTTGACAGGTTTTACTTTGTACCCTACAACAGACCGGCTGCAAGTGATGGCTGGGACCCTGAGGGACGGAGTAGGAGTCAACAGCAATTTTGGGGCTTCACGGCAAGACTAAAGTGCAGAGTGGCTGCTGGTGCCTGAGGAGCTGCAGAGATCCCTCTGGTATAGCCCAGATGACATGACCACAGGCAGCACCGAAACATGGGTCCCCACAGCAAAGCCTGCAGTTCTGGGTGCTCACTGCCACCTTGCCCACAGCAGCAGCGACCTGCTCCCACCTCTGCACCCCATGGGGCAGGCTTCCACCCCACTGTGCTGGCACCATGGCACCGTAACCGCTCGCGCTGTACCCCAGGAAAACACCAAATGGCTGAATGACTGCTGGTCTTGCAGCTTTCTGAGCCATGGCTTGTATAAAGGGTTTTCCCTTCTGCATAGCTAATCCTCACTATTCAGGTATTAAAAACAGAGCAACTCCCGTGCTAATACTTGCTTTCAACAGAAATTATGTCTTTCTCTAAAAGCTTAAATTACAGGTTTGCTGTCTCCGAGTATTAGAAAAGACCCAGAATTAAATCCTTCACTTCCAGAGCAAAACTAGGACCTACTGCAGGAAACAGGTTGCTCGATGCAACAGGGCAAATTGCAGGGAGCAGCCACTGGGTGCCTGGTGTCAGCCAGAAAGGCTCTCATAAGCAGAGATCATTCACAAAGCAACGCAGCCATGATTAAATACTGTTTTCTGCATCACTGGGAACCACAAAGCAAGAGGGTAGGATCGCACACACGCTCACACAAAACCACCCTAGTTCCTTAGCCAAGCACAGGCCAAGGGAGAATGAGAGGCACGGGGCTTGAGTGGGTTTAAGTTAAAAAAAAAAAAAAAAAAGTAGAACTGAATCAGCTCTCAACACATCACTGAAAAGATTATGGTTTTGATTTTACAGAAGTCCTCTGACAGAGGATGGAGGCATGAAATCTGGTTTGTAAACATCATTTATGAGGACCAATGAAGTCCTTGCTATTGCCTTTTTGCTATGAACATGCCTTATTCAGGGACATTTATTATCCTCTCTCCACTCTGCCATAAAGGCCTGAGATGAAGAAGAACAAACGCAAGACAATTAAGCCCTTTACAGGAGAAAAAAAATCAAACATCATTTTCTATGTCTTGAAAAGAACTGGAAATGTCTAGACAGAAGACAGACAGAATTGGTCTCAAATATATTAATTTCAATAACAAGTTGAACCCCTGAATTATGGGGAAGAGACTGAGGTCTGCCCCTCCTCCAAAAACTTTCCACAGCATTACTTTAGTCTCCCCATGCCTCTGACATCCTTTATCTCGCCTGCGATATTTCTATCTGATAGCAGGAGAGCGTAATCTGGGTCATTGACAGCCTGGACAGCCACCGACAGCCCCCAGCAAGAGCTGCTGGAAAGGCAAGCAGCACTGCAGAGTCCCAGCTCCGTGCCTCTGGGGAACTGGCTCTTACTGGGGGGAAAGAAGAGATGAACGGGAAAGGTTTTCATCTATCTGGGAACTCATTGTGCAAGCAGAGCCACCCCAAGGTCATGGGAGTTTGGGATGCTCTCTCCTTCCACCATGGCCATGCAGGGGCCACAGAGGCTCCCTCTACTTAAGGAGGGCCCGTACAACCTCATTAAGCAAGTTTGCATACGGCATCCACCCTGGGGGCATCTGAGCTTCAAGTACTAATAAGGTTATTGCAGGCTGCAAGAACGTACTTCCGTCATTTAGGTTGGTGATGTGACAGCGGTGAAGCAAACAAGTCATAGCAAAACAGCCCACTTAGGCACCACCAAAGACCTGCTCATCCAGACACTGAGCTGGAAGAATAAAATTTTCCCAACTCAACAATCCTATGGGATTTCAGGAAAGAAAACTTTATAAAAAGACCTTCTAAAACATCTGCAGAAAACCGTAAGCAACCAACCAACCAAGAGAAAATAAGCATAAGCAAGAGACGGAGGCCCACTTGGACAGCCAGAACATAACTGGCAGTGCAGAAGTCCCACAAGGAACCAAAACCCCCTTCCCTAGTGGAAGTTCTCTCAGAAACAGTCTGGTCAGACCCAAAGCTTCTGGTTCATAACAGAAGTATTTCCCACTAGCAGGCTCTTCCCCAAGAAAACCCCTTCCATTCCCATCCAGCCTGCGAGAAGGACCTTACCTGACATGCGTTGTACAGAAGCTGATGCTCAAATTTCTTGATCCCCAAAATGTTCTGGAACATCTCGTAGAGCTGCTCCTTGCTGAGGATGAGCTCTGAGGCAGCGCTCGCCGTCATCCTGGCCTGCTGCTTGCGAGGATCCTCCTCCCCGCGGTAAATAGCATCAAACTTTGCCATCCAAGAGCTCAGGACTGTCTCCTTGCTGAGGCCATCAATTTCTGGCAGGCTGCGCACTCTCTTCTCAATGTGCTTCTTGAAGACCTCCCGGGAGTCATTTGCTGAGCACCCTCCGCTCTGCACCATCCTAGCAACGCGGTCACTTTTCAGAAATACCTGCAATAAAGAGGTGACTTCAAATGGTGTCAGTTAAAAAAAAAAACCAAAAAAACATCCTTAAGTACCACAAAACATGGTTTCACTGCTGGGAAGGCCGCTAGCTGGCTTCCAGTACATTTTCCAACTCCTCACTCAACAACCACATGTTGCCAGATGGACAGAGGTTTCAGCTGTACTTTAGGAAGAGTAATGAAATCAAGGTGAAGCTTCTGCTTTGCATCTGCTAAAATGGAACATTTTGATGCAATTAGGACTTGATGTGATGTTGTGGTCACACCTCACCAGATACATAAATGCCCTTTGGGAAAGCAGGATTGTATTTTGTTCTATCCAATGGTTTAATAAGGAAGTTATTGCACAACTATATTCACCTAGCCAAATTCTGCCTTGTTAGAGGGAGCCCAGTCATCTTGCTGAAGCCAGCAGCATTGCATCACGTTTATCCTGGTCGCCAGGCCTCTGGGAAACCTCTGATCAGCGCAAGGACCAGGCTTACACTAATCTACTATACTGGAGGAGATCTTTGCAAACTGGCCTGCTGTCACAAGGTGACAGGAATGGCATTATTAATTAATTTAATGTTACCCTCAGTTAAACAACATGTCCGTCCCCACTTCTCCCATACCCTGGTCTTTCCAACCTGGGCAGCCAGCACTGCAAGAGCACCATTAAAGCGTCCCAGGAAAGAATAAGGACAAATGGCCTGATCTTTGCAAACTGACAGGTAAACACCAAGACAACCCAGATCACTAACAGGTGGCATGGCTACAGGTGGACCAGGCCAAATCCCTTCCAGGTTCGGCACAGGATGGTTCAGCACGGCTTGAGGCTGCCTGGGAAGGCTCTGCAGAGATAAGCCTCCTGCAAGGGACGCTGACAGCAGGAGGGAAGTTTGATGAAGATGCTCTTCCCACTGCAAGAGCAGCAGGAGGGTCAAAATATACCAGACCTCTGCAGACCAGGAGATGCCATGGGAGCAACACAGAGCTGAAGGGCGAGAGAGGGACAGGGAGATATTGTGTTGGCTCTCCTCCCACAAGCCCTGAACACAAGAGAGCAATCGACGCCCAGCAAGAACTGCTGTTTTATTAACGACACTGAGAACGGATGAATGCAGCAGGCTGGGAAGAAGCTGTGCCAGCACCAGGGTGTATCTGTCAGCTCTCAATAATTAAAGACCTTGAGGATGACCTAAGGACATGGCAGATTTTTTTATACCACTCAGAATCGTGGCACTCCGTGTTCCCAGATGCTTGATGGCACAGGCATCTGTCAGCAGTGGTAGCAGGTTTTGCTCCAGGACCTGCCCAGAAAAGCTGCTGAGGAAGAGCTGGGCTATTTCCTTCCAACATGACTGTGCTGGGGAGTGCTCCCCGTGCAGACGAGTCAGGCAGGATGCCACCAGCAGCCATTTCGGTCCATGCTGAAACGACACCAGCACACACTTTGTTTCCTTGCAGAGCTTAAATATGACTGATAACACCCTGGGTGTGCGCAGGTGCTTTTAGGTAATAAGCGAGAGCTATCAAAATCCAAGCTGCCGGTGCAGCCAAGGAAGTCCCCAGCACACTGACTGCTGGAAATGGCGGGAGGTCACGGCAAACGGCCGTGCTGCGGCATCCTCGGCTCCCACGTCCCCTCTCTAACCATCCGCTCCAGGCGCCTTTGGCTTGACCCTGTGCAACAACTCTGATGACTCCCCGTCCCCGCTGGCACCAGCGGCTGTTGTTATCGGGTGGTCCTCGCCCCGTCGGAGGGGTGACAGCACTGCGAGCAGAGGACTCCGAGTCCTCGTCTCCCCTCAGCCCCCACTTACCCTCCCCGGGTGCGGGGCAGCAGCCAGCAGAGGAAAGGAGGGCTGCGGCGGCAGCGAGGCGGCAGGCGCGGGGCAGCGCTAGTCAGGCACGAAGCGGCAGAAAAAGACCGTGAAACAGGAAGATAAAAAAAGGTAAAAGAGGTGTTTTGTCCCGCAGAGCAAGCTGCTTTCTTTAGAAAATACCAGGTGACTACCCAGCTGTAAGACCGCCTAGCAGGACTGCCAGGAGTCAAGAACTGCTGGAAGAATCAGGAAATCCTAGCGCGGGTGCCTACACTGGCGCGTGCAGAAGAGAACTGGCCTCTGTGAGCCGGGTCGGGCATCTCCTGCCACGTCCACAGATGAGCCCCCCATGTCACGCGTGGCCCTGGCCCTGTCTGCCCACAGCAGAGTGGAAATGGGTCTCACAAAGCATTTCCATAATACCCGCTGAAGGGACTACTGCGTAAAGCACTGGTTGACAGACGAAGCTTTACTCATTACAAGTAAAAGGACATGAGAAAAGCTCTCCTGGAGTGTCTGTTAGAGTGTGCTGGGCCTGTCTCGCACACGTGGGTCTGCAGCATTCCTGGCGGCACAGCGGTGCTTTGCAGACCAGCAGCAAAGCCTGCTCAGATCACTCAATCTTTTAATTTGATAGCAGCCTGTGAACTAGTCTAAGACTGACAACCACACGTTTACCCCTTGACAGAAGACTTAACAGCAGAATGTGGCCACGCAAACACATTCAGGGCAAGAGCAAATGCATTCCTGACCTACAATGTCACCTTCTTTCTCAATTAAAAAAAAATAAATAAAAATCATTCCCCAGGTAATGAACCTATTCTGTAAGTGGACCCCTCAGAAACACCAGCCATGGTGTTTCTGCACAAAGACAGCCAGTTTCAGCTAAGCAAAAAAACAAGTTTTAGTATTTTCCAAGCCATCATGCAGCTTTATAAGTCAGTACCTAAAGGCCAATTTCTAGATAGCATCTATCCAAGGGGCAATGAACTGCACAATCCTGAGATAAGCAGGACCTGCTGTGATTGCACCGTGGCCCAAGCAAGGCGGGCACCTCTCCGCAGCGAAGGGAGGAAGGAGCACCATCAGCGGGGAACGCTGCTCGGGCATGGAGACGGGGCAGAGGCTTTCTGCGGCGAGGCTCTGCCTTGTGCCGCTGCAGGTGGTGCCGGGCAGGAGACACGCAGCCGTGCTGCAGCTGCGCCGAAGCTGAAAGTACGTGGCGGTAAATTAAAGGAGACCAACAGTTGAAAAGAAGAAAAAGTTGCGCTAAAGGACACAGAGTGACCCATGATGCTTTTTGTGGCCTGTTTTAAGCAGGACAGAGCCAGTGAGTGTCCGGTTGAACTGAAGACATGGGGTTTGCAGACTTCTCGTGCTGATCAGCTGCTCTTTGTAAGTTTGATTGCTTGGGTTAATTATACAGCACAGGACTTCTAGAGCTGGTCAGGACACGCTTTCAGCCAGACCTACCGGTGAAACAGGGATGTATTTTACCTGTTCTTAAGCAGTTTCCTTTTCCTGCCCAATAGTCTTATCTGCACAGATTACGCTGCTCTTGCGTCCCAAAACGCAGCTTACGCCATCTTGAAAAATTTCTCTGAGAGCATCTGTTTAGTGAAGCTGTGATAAACTGATGATCCTTTGGCAATTTCTTTTCTGATAAGAGATGTAAATTACCCTCAGCTTCCTTCCTGTACAGAGAATGATGGAGCAGTAACTACTAGGCCAGTTTAATAGAGTTAATCCAGAGATAATTTGTGCTTTCCTTACACAGAAGCAGCTGCTGCCATTTTTATAGAGTTAAAATTCTCTTCAGTTTTAGTATCTGATTTTGGTCCCCTCTTAGATTCCATTTCCAGAGAAATATTTTATGTAGGCAATCTTCACCTTTTATGACAGAATAGCTTTAGGGAAAAAGAGAAATGGTTTGCAGAAAAGCTAGCAAAAAAATAAGCGACGCTCCTCATACAAATCACAAGCACTGATTTACTTCAAAACTAGAAGCTCCTTCCTTCTGAGAAAAGATATGAAAGGCAGCATTAAGGGCTGCATACAAGGAGGTACAAAAAGACAGACATGCATAATTATTCTTTTGCACAATTATGAATGATGCTTCATGTTCTTTGGTACTATCTAGTTTCGTACATCCCCCTTCCTCCCCTTTGCTTTACAGCACTTGTCATACCAAAGAGAAAAGACAAGATTCTTGCTGAAAATCCCAAAGTCAATTTGCATTGTGTCTAAAGCTTCAGCAAAAACTGAACGTGCTGCCCAGTCTTCTCTTGGTATTTTTCATAGGCAGCACATGACATTTATTTTATATTGTGCCATCTTCCTTGTTTTAGAGTACACTGTTTAAAAGTATCAGGAAGACATTTTTCAGCTTAAAGGAAGGGGGATCTTCCCCATAACCAAGCTGTAGGATACACCACGGTGTAGGGGTTGCCACAGTTTCCATATGGTTGCATGTTCAATCCCTGAACCTCACAAACTTTGTGACGTACCAGACATCAGACGGAAGAAACCCTGCATTTGCCTGTGTTGTGTGCTGTTTGAATAAAGGACAATCCATTAGTTCAGAATTCGACTCCGTCTGTTGAATAGGAGTGAGAACAGGCATTCATATGAATATTGCATTGTCTCTCCTCACCTCGTAGTAGCTCTGGACAGCGTTTATAAATGCTTCGTCTGCCACAATCTGGGTTTCTCCGTTGAGAAAGGCCTGGAAACGATCTTTGATTGTCTGGAGCTGCTGCTTACTTATCTGCAAAACATGCCAAAAGGAGAAAATAAGTCAAGAATGGTTTATGTATGAGGAAAAAAACCCACTAATTCTTCCACAATATCTTATCGAGGTGTTTATGATGTGCACCTCTGCTCTCCTTTGGGGACAGCAGCAATAGATGATGAATCAGCCACGTGTGGGTACACACGCACACGCACTCTTTACCCTGGCAAGTTCATTTAAGCATCATGAGCACTTAAAACCACCCTGAACATCATTTCTAAACAACTCTGCCACCACAAAACGCACACAAGACTTTTGCCACTCCAGGTACACCTAAGTCAAAAGCAAGGTGCTGTGGGCATGCTTGGAATAGACCGTTTCAGTGCAATTTCTTCCCCATTTAGCCTCTCCTCCCCTTCAGAAGATGAGGTTTCATCACCGAACAGGAAGCCTTGCAAGCTGGCTGTTGAAGACAGCACTCATCAGTACTCTGGGGCTTTGGTCTGTCTTTGTTTGGTGGGTTGTTTTTTTTCCTTGCTCACTTCTTTCGTCTTGTCACATATAAAAAAAACATTCAGGACCAGTGGTGAAAGAATTTAATGCCATTTAATGCCAAAGAAATCATATGAGGGCAAACTTGTTCTCCTTATCCAAGCAAGGACTTTCTCTGTCATCTCTTTGCTACTCAAAATGGTTTCTGTCCAGTATACAGCTGGTATAGCTTACAAGACAGTTCTAATTTTGGCACAACAACATCAATAGCAAGTTTACAAGGGTTTATTCCAGCCTTCTAAGATAACATGCCATTACTTTGCCAATTTCTCTGTCAGTTTAAAAACAGATAAAGCTAAAAAATCCCACCTCTTCAGCTTGCAGTGCAGACAAAGTCACAGCAGGCACACAAGTCAGGTACCAACAATACCAGCATAACATCTTAAGATGCAGGTAACACTCATGCTGAAGGGCTGCAAGGATTTAAATGTAGTTGTGCCTGATCTACCATGGGACTACTTCAGGTTTGAGGATAAGAATTAATTTAGACAAAAGAGAAGGAAGCAAACAAGTTGTATATATGACAACTTCAAACTTAAAGGGAAAAAACAGCGGTAAGAATTAGGACAACTATTAACTAATGACCAAAAGTTCTAGAGAAGAGTGCTTTTTCTCATTTGTATGCCAGTAGAAGAAACCAGTGCATTAGAATGGAAAAGAAAAAGAAAAAGAAAATTAATGGCTTTAAGTGTCTAAATGGCTTGAATAAAGTATCAAAAACTACAGAGACCCAAACAACTAGAGCATAGTGAAGCCTGGTAAACGCAGCTAGGGATAAAAAGCAGGAGAGGGACCACTTGGAAAATGCAACGATAAATATCACTGTATCTAGATGATGTGCCATGTGGGGTGTTTAGGGAATGCGGTAACGAACATCATGAGTACTAGTAATTAATTCTGCAACACCACGCTGAGGAGGGTTAGTGAACAATGGCAATTTGATGTGATAATCTGGGATTAGTTTATCCTGGTGCTTATGGAAAGGTGTTCATCAAAGTGACATAAAGCAAGACTCACTATTCTCTGCTTCGGAAAACATGGAACAGCCTTCGCCACCCTTGTGGGTGCTGGAAGGACATTCCCACCCCCAAAGCAGCAGCCCAGACTTCACAGGGTCTGACACATGCAACAAGGCTCAGCATCACAGGCTGGAACAAGGATGCTCCCTCTAACCTGACCCACCTCGGCCTTGGGCACCATTTGCCATGAGCCCTGTGTACAAGCACTGCCGAAAGCTCCTGCTTTAAGGCTGGCAGGATCTAATTTTTGACTCCAAGAGTCCATCTGCCATGACAGGCACCTAAAACCCTTTGTGTTGTTTGCCAGTAGCACCCTAGACATCACGAGCCCTCGGGCAACACCCACAGCATCAGATGTAAGGCAGGCTCCAAACCTATCTGAGCTGATGGAAGCTCCTTGACGGAATTGGAAAGAAAACTGGGTCAGCAATAAGAGGAGCCAGAGACAATGTAGTGATCGAGTGGGAGACACCTGTGGGAAGGCACTAGGTCTGTTTTTATTAAGCATTTAATTATCTGGAAGGAGACAAAACCAAGATGTTAATTAAATATATTGACGGCTTTGTATTAGCAACCATTGTGAATGTCAGGCAGAAATGTCAGGGTGAAAGAGGCCATAAGAAACCAAGGAAAGAAACAGGAAAACTACAGGTGACATTGAAATCAGGCTGTTAAGGCACAAGGAAAGACATACTAAGAGCACAGATACTCTGAGCCAAGAGACTTTTCATTTGGGATTTTATCCATGTGCATGGCATTTTTATTTTTTTCCAGCTTTTTTCTTAGGACAACCTCCAGAAGTCCTTGCTTGTTCAATTCCTGTAATGCCATCTAGCAGCAGTATTTTATGCTCCTTCCTCAATACTGAACAGGCTACCTTCAAAACAAACGATGCTCCTTGAAATTCCTAGAAATTCCCAATAGGCAGCTCGCACGTGAGCTCCCGGGGGCTGTGGAAATGAGTCATCGGGTTTGTCTCTATTGGAGTGTCAGCTGCCTCCTCCTCACCCCCAGGCTCTATGCACGTGTTTTCCCCACCCAGGGAAAAGGAGATCCTCTCTGGTCACACCAGGCTGCAGCATGGCCCCGTCCCCAGCTAACAGGACCCTCGGTCTCCCATCCCCGCCAGACCATGAAGCGGCACTGGTGTATTGATCTGTGTCTGTGCCACTGTTGGGGACATTATCAAGAAAGCAGCCAATCCGAGCCAAAATTTAAACTGCTTTCATATTAAATTTAGCTTCTGCAGCACAGCAGCAGGCACCTGGTGCAGAACGTCAGCACCAGCAAGGGAGTGAAGGGGACCAGACAGGTCACTGAAATCTGCCCAGCACACTCCACCTCCCATCAGGTGCCTCCTCCCCTCCCCGTCAGGTGCCAAGGGCATCCCAGACGTGCCCCTCGGGC